TACCATCGAATAGATTTTCACTCACATATTATCTCTCATAGATTTTACCGATCATATGTGTAGTACAGCCTCTCGAGGAATCGAAAATTACGATGATATTTATCAAGTGTGTATCTAATAATCGCTACCAAATAGTGGACTGATGTTGCGTTTTGTAGGTTCGAAATTGTCGACTTGTTGGTTTGCCAAATCTCTGGGTTGGAAAAGATTACGTCAGGAATAAAATCGTTGATTATTTAAATCACTTAGTAGACATTGGCGTTGCTGGTTTTCGAATTGATGCTGGTAGAAATTCGCTCTAGTCTGTTTTTGAAAGCTATTTAATTAATTTAATTTTCATTCCTTAGGTAAACATATGTGGCCAGAAGATTTAAATCGACTTATTGGCCAAGTAAAAAATTTGAGAGCAGAGTAAGCGGTTGATTTTGGGAACAGTATAGAATCTCAATTATGTTTTCTGTTACCTAGTATATATGGTGAAAATCATCGACCATTCATTTATTTTGAAGTTATTGATATGGGAGGAGGTCCAATTAGAAGCTCGGATTATTCGTGGATTGGTCGAGTGAGCGAGTTTCGATACGGTAAACTTCTCAGTGAAGTGGTGCAACGACAATATGGACAAAAAATGAGTTATTTGAAAAATTTTGGACAGGGTAAGGACTCTAAGAAACGTATCACATAATGTACTGTACAAGAATGAACTCTAATCTAATTCCTGATGCAATCATGGAAGAACGAATGAGAGTGAATCAGTGTGATAAAACTTTCATTCGTTAGCCTTGTATCTCTACTGAAAATAGATAAGTTCTGTTTTCTGTTTCCGTTTTAGACTGGGGAATGCTACCAGATTTTGATGCTCAGATTATGGTTGACAACCATGATAATCAACGAGGTCACGGTAAGAAGTCAGACTCATCTTATTTTCTTCTGTCATAGTAGTCTTCTAAATATGGTGAAGTTAGCAGTGACTTTGATAAAGGTATTATGTCATTTTTTTCTGTTTCAGGTGGTGGTGGTTCAATTTTGACGTTTTTTGAATTTCGCAACTACAAAATTGCCACTGCGTTCATGTTAAGTTGGCCATATGGATACCCAGTTATTATGTCTAGTTACCAATTTGATCGCAATGACGATGGCCAGGGACCACCTTCAGATGAACAAGGAAACACAAATGACGTATCGATTGAAAGGTAATCGTTACGTATTGATGCTATTACTGTCGGCATGATGTTTGATGAAGCCATAATCATGAGGAGTATGGTGACATTCACAATCCGTTTGAAAAAAATTGCTTATCCATTTAGTTAAATCCCTGAATTCCCTTTTGAGTTTTGCAAAACCTCTAATCGAAACGATCAAAACTGTATTATTCTAATTGTTTAAGTGATGAAAAGCAAATAATAGAGTTTTCTGATTTTAGTGACGGAACATGTAGCGGCGGATGGGTTTGTGAACATAGATGGCGTCAAATATACAATTTCGTTAAGTTTCGAAATGTAGCATGGGGTTATAAAGTTACAAACTGGTGAGTATATGTAACGACTACTCTAAACGAAAGTGGCATTGTAATTGATATCTAATGGTCTAATATGATGAATAGGTGGGATAACGGTGAAAACCAAATAGCCTTTTCTCGCGAAAACCAGGCTTTTATTGCCATTAACAATGATGATTATCCAATGTCTGAATATTTACAAACCGGTTTACCAGCTGGTGAATACTGTGATATTGTCTCAGGCGATTTAAGTTCTGGAAAATGTACAGGAAAAGCAATTACAGTTTATCCTGATGGTAAAGCCTTAATTAAAATTGGAAATTTAGATCAAGATCCAATTGTGGGCTTACACATCAAGGCCAAATTGTAAAAAAGAGTTTCAGTGACTGTTCGATTTTTCTACAAGAAAAAGCTGTCAGAAACTAAATGCTTGAATAAATAATCACATCGTATGTCCTACTATCCATTTATCTAACTAGGAATTTCGAGTCTGCTTTTCTTGTGTCATTTCTACTCGTTTGTTTGTATGGGGTGTCCGTAAGTTGTACTCAACACAATGTAATTGACGTTGTTTCTTTATCTCAAACAAATAAAACACATTCAAATCACTTCTGAAGATTGACAAACTTCCATGTCATTTATTCAAACTTGTAGTAACGAGACAAGTATTGAACAATAATCGTTCATTCATTTACTGACATTACGTGAACTGACACAAAGCTCGATGGGGATTTTCTCGCTTAGACGTACAAAATAATTGATATCGAATATCTGTCGACAAATAGATGTTATTTTAAAAATATCGAATGTTTTTGACTTTGTTAGAGTACAAGTTTCATATTTAAATGAGCCGATTGAGTTTTACAGATTATGTCCAGTGGTGGATATTTTAAAATTTTAAACATCCGTATACCTGTCAGTTATGATGGATGATTGGAAAGATAGATTAAATTATATGAAAAGTAAAGTCATACTGACTGCAAAGAAATCGCGCAGGGAATTTATATGCTATTAATCTGAGAGGGTTGGCAGCAATTAATAGTACATACTGTAGACAAAAATAGAATATTGGACAAGGTGGTATGCAATTTGATGGCAGTACCAATGGACATAGTATGACGTGAAGAATAGACGAAAATTCAATGAAATAGGTATCCGTTATCAGCTTTATACGACAAACAATCAACAATTGAGAGTTTGAATGAAGAATTCGAAAGAAAATATCTTAATAATGCTTGATGTTTTGATTTAACATAATATTAGACAACGAGGATCATGAGACTGATGGAAATTTCTAAGACGATACACTATTTTATATTAAAAGGTTCTCTATTTATATACGAAGGAACCTATTTGTTTATTTTCTCCTTAGTGAATGATGGGTTTGAGCACGTTGTTTTACTTTTGGAAGATTAACGATTGCACTTCTTTTCTTATGTTGCAGTCAGAGTAGAATCAAGTCTTAATATTTTAAGTACAAAAGAGATTTTGGGACGCTGTTTGAACACGGAAATCGGCTGGAAAATATACCTCTTTATTAGGGTTTCGGGCCTTCTATTGTATAAATAATATGTTGACTTCGATTTTTATTGTTAGAGACAGTAAACCCAAGGGTAGAATAACATCAGGCAGACTTGAAAATTCTACATCTGATCATATTAAAAAAAATAACTTTTGTTTGCGAATTTTTTGGAAAACAGCGCCAATAACAAGTATTGTCTCATTGGCTGAATTTATTTTAAATTTTAGAAAGGAAGGACAGATAGGTCTATAGGAACGAACATACCATCAGATAAACCGAGAAGTTCTGCACCTTTTATTATTGAAACCAAATTGTTACACTTTTCCAACTGAAGAAAAATACGTTTTCAAAACTTTGTAATTCTTCAGAGTGTTTTTAACAGGAATTTTAAGCAAAGTGGGTTTCCACGGTTTACCACTGCATTTTCCATGTTTTCCCTGCTAAAAACAAAGTGGAAATCGAATTTTCAAAGTGGAAACCCATTTTGTTCAAGCGAGACCCACTAATCATTAAAAACACTGATTCTTCAGTTGAGCAACTCTGCTTTTTATGCCTTTCAGCACTTCTGATGCTGTAGAATAAAGGCAAATACTTATTTCATGAGGGATATATGACTAAAATCTGCACAAAATTCTCTATCTGTTAGCATCGAAATGAGATATTCCGATCACACTTAACCTGCGAAAAAAGCCTTGGAAAGGTCAGAAACTTAATGTGGACGACTCATTATTTGCATTTTTCGGATTGCCCATTTGAAGAACTGTCGCTATTGTAGGTCCACCTGCGAGTCTCGTTGAAGTAATAACTGTATATAGGAACTAAATAGTTCCATTACTTTCACCTGACGTTTAATCAAATATTATATGATAAAATTTCAACTAATTATTGTTAAGTATTCATCTCCATTTATTCGTACATTCTTTGTCCAATAGAAAGCGTCCATAGTTCATACAGCTGTCTGACTGCACTGCATCGCTTTATTTTAAAAAATACTTGTAAAAAGCAATAAAAATTTCTTTTTTTCTTTATATTCTGTTGAATGGATACGCCGAATAGCGCTCTGATAAATGATGGCAAGGTAATATAGATTTAGAGAGGCAAAACACAATAATAACACGGTTCATTTGAAGTCACTTAAGAAGTTTTTCCATTCAGACTCTCAAAATTATCACAAACCAGCCGTGGCGAAAATATAGTAACGGTAAGATACTTTTTTGTTACCAAAAACTACTGAAGTTCTGCTCATAAAAGAAGCATTAGTGACTTTTTTTTAAACGCTTAACGTGTTGTTTTAATGACGCTTGATAAAGTTGCATTTTGTAGCCGGTTGGTTCATTGTTCTGCATCTACTTATCTTCGATATTTGGGTTAACGTATAATACATAGTTCACTGAGGCTTAAACGAAATCAGCACAAAATATGGTATCCTGCGCACTTTTGTCTGGTGCTTCCGATAGTATCGCTGAGATTGATAAGATCTTGGAAAAAAATGTACCATTTTTGTAAGATTTTCTAGAAAACTTTATACTTGCGCACTATTATGTTTTATCATTTTTCTGTCTTTCATTAACCAAGATACATTAGATTAATTTTTCTTTGAAAATGTAAGCCTGTCTAGTGCAATTTAGTTGTGAATTTCTTTTCACTCTCACGCATTAGACAGAAAACCACAAAATTGATTTTGTAAAGTTATCTTTATTTGGTTCGAGATCGAACATTTATCAGAAGATATGAAATGATGGATAATCTTTATTCTCTTCATTTTCGAGGTTTACAGATACATGCAGATGTGATTATATTACTTTTAGATAGAATTGTAACATTTAACATATTATATTATCTTTAGGTCCGAAGCAAGATCGATCATATTTGCCCAAATCGAGTTTAACACAACAAATATCTAGGACAAGCATTCCATTATCATCTGGGCTTAGGTAAAGTATTACAAGAAATGACATTGGAATATATAATTTGAATAGAATTATTCCACTTTAGAATTCTAAATACAAAAATTCAAGCGAAAGAATCTGAAACTTATCAACCATTGGTTACAATAAGTGATAAAGAAGGCAGCAATAGGTATGTGGCAATTTAATTTAGTTATTTTCTATTTTCTTCATAAGAAAATGTTTCCTTTTTAAAGTGACGACGATCATGTTTCGCCGGTGCATAAATTAACGAAAGATGAACTTCGTGAAGAACTAAATGGTTTTATAAATGGTGATAATAAGATACCGAGTGATGACGAAGATCTTGAACTGAGACGACCACAACCACAGACAAATGTTTTATTTAAACCTTGTGTTTGTTGTCCTTATAGAATCGATTCAGTTAAATGTGTTATTTCCTAGAATGCTACAAGTATTAATTCTTTTTCCCAAATGTCAGATATAAAACATGCGACAACTATTGATATATGTTTCCAACAGTTCTAGAACGCTAAATTGTTCTTCCAGAATTATTCTGCTGTTTTAGCATATGTTTGTGTGTAATTTTTTTGACTATATCCGGATCATTGTTGATTCCATTGTTAGTTTAATTTGATTTTATACTTTTTGTTCGTTGGTTCATCTATGTACTTGTTTCATTAGGCAGTACGGACAAGTTAATTTTCGGATAATTTTCCTCGTATTTTTAAACATTTATTATTTTTATTTATTTTTTGTTTTCTCGTGCGTTTTTTGCGCTGCTCTCATTCTTCTGACAGAGAGAAGAACAGTATAGTATAGAAATGAATAGAAGAAAAATGTTTTTCTGGAAAAACACGTAATCAGGCTGAAATTTACCGTCCTGAATCTTTCATACTTGACAAACTTGAAACAACGCTGTATTTTCTTCGCGAAAGAGACCTAAAAATGCTTGATTTTTGTATAAAATTCGGTCTTATATTTCTTAATTTCGGCTCAAAAACATTTCATTTCCTCATAAAACTCATTATAGGAGGTAGTGGATGAGGTAACTTTTTAATCGATATTCTCTCCAGAATATGAAGGGGAGAATTTATCCTCGCGCCAATTGGACCTTCTAGGTACTTGACCTGGTCTTCAATGTAGCTACGAGAAATCAACCAGTGACGTAACAATCATCAGCAATGTATTGGCACTCTTAAGGAGCATATCTATGAAATCATATCCTACGGTTACATCTTTTCTCTTGTAAGGTGCCAATAATGCAAACTTCGAACAAACATTTTAGCAATATATTATACACCACTGGATAGCTAGCGTCGAGCTGATTACAAAATGTGCTTTTTAACTTTTCAAAACCGATTTCGAAAAATCAAAAGTACTTGAAGGGTCTTCAAAGTCGAAAAATTCTTTGAGTTAGAAAAAGTCCGAATTTTTGCCTTATTTTTTTTCTATTTATAATTTTAAAACTATTTTTTTCTTATTCAACGTCGAAAACTAAATAGAAAAATGATATTTAATCAGTTCTGAAATTAAAAGTTTGTCCACCATAGACGTCGCTATATGACGGCCTTGGATGCGAGCATACAATTTGGTAAATCTGTCTAGTTTATTGTTTGAGTCATTGGAATATTCATTTATACTTCATTAGATTATCTGAGAGACCAGTTTAAAAGTATACTTCGTTTTTTTTTTAAACTTTATGTCGTTGCTGAGGAAATGCATTTTTTCTAAATCAGCAGCGAAAAAGTTGGAATTCTGCCCGTAATTCTCAATTTTCTCCGATGAAATTCAACTTTTATGTAATAAAGATACCATATTGGAAACCAGGATCAAATAGGAAAAAATAGTTTTAAAATTATAAATAGAAAAAAATAAGGCAAAAATTCGAACTTTTTCTAACTCGAAAAATTTTTCGACTTTGAAGACCCTTCAAGTACTTTTGATTTTTCGAAATCGGTTTTGAAAAGTTAAAAAGCACATTTTGTAATCAGCTCGACGCAGGCTATCCAGTGGTATATAATATATTGCAAAAATGTTTGTTCGAAGTTTGCATTATTGGCACCGTATCTTTTTACCGAAATGACACTGTTTCTTTAAATGTCTAAATCAAAGATGTTTTTCTACGGTCAGACCCAAAAGTTGAAGGACTCATCTGAAAAATCAGTCACACCTGCGAAAATAATTAATCCGAGTCAGGTCTCAGTCCAGTCACAGTCTTGTTAGAAAAGCTTACCAGTTCGGACTAAAACTTGCCCACCCATTAGAATCAAAAGATCTTGTAGAGATCACAACCAATAGATTTTCGGTGCTCTGAATTATTTTCTTCAAAATTTAATTAGTTTTAAATTCTCTAATATAGGCAAAACATGCAGATAGAGACAGACATTTTTTTATAGGACCCACACTTCCGTTAACGGAATGTTCTTTTTGGCTCACTCCCATATGAGACAATAAACTATGCATACCCAAAAGCGATAATAAAATGTAGTTTTAAAAGAGACAATAAACTCTGACGTTTAAATTGTGACAACAAATGTTAGTATTCCAAAAGAGATAATAAAATCAAATGCCCCAATTGAGATAACAAAATGAGACAAAATAGCGAATTCAAAAGAGGTAATAAATTTTAATTAGAATAATAGAACAATTAAAACAAGATATGTGACGTTTGTACACTGTATAATTACGCATCTATTTGGCAAATGATCCGAAAGATACATGTCTGAATCGAACAACAGTATAAAAACGGAGCGTCCGATTACGTTGAAGGACAACGTTTCAATCCTATCATGTCAATATTACCACAATAACCTCTCCAAAAGTTATCATCTCTCAACGTAATAACGAAAAATTTGTGCAGTTTAGAACAACTATAGGTTTAGAAAAATACATGTTAATAAAGATTCAAGTAAATGTTCAGCATCCATTACAGTTAATACAAGTAATAATATAATTCGAGAAAATGGTAAACATGATCATGAAGCTAGGATGGAAGAAGAAATTCGAAATGTTATTTGAGGAATGCAAGAAGATCCGTAATTATACACAGTGTACAAACGTCACATATGTTGTTTTAATTATTCTATTATTCTAATTAAAATTTATTACCTCTTTTGAATTCGCTATTTTGTCTCATTTTGTTATATCAATTAGGGCATTTGATTTTATTATCTCTTTTGGAATACTAACATTTGTTGTCTCAATTTAAACGTCAGAGTTTATTGTCTCTTTTAAAACTACATTTTATTATCTCTTTTGGGTACGCTCAGTTTATTGTCTCATATGGGGGTGAGCGTTCTTTTTTGTTGTGATAAGTGCAATTGGCTGATAAATACAAACAGTGAAATGAAAGAGAAAAGTTAATTATAATGATGTGATAGTGTATCTTAAAGTGCTTTTTGTTTTAGAGCACTATCAATACGATAACACTAATCCTTAATCATGATTAAAGTTTTTATAGTGTAGACCGCATTTGCTTTTAATCATGATTAAGTCAGCAATGTGACCTCACTCATCACGATTGAGAACAACAAATAAATATGGGAATTATACTAAAATTTGCTTACTTGTCTGCCGATCGAGTGAACGATGAATCTTGATAGTTTGGATAAGAATTTAGAAAAGATCGGCATTTGCATAGAATAGAGAATGGTTTGATGATTACGTAAAAATTTGTAAATTAAAAGAGCAGAGAATAAAGGAAATCGGAAGGGCAACGGTTTTGTTATCAAAAAGAGAGCGATTTTGAATTTTGAAATAAAGTAATTGAAAGAAGAAGGATTAGTCAATTAATTGATTAAACATATTAAAGACAATCGCAACAATGTACATTTTAACCTCGTCTCGGATCGGCGACGAAGTGCGTTCTGTCAACACTTGTTTCTAATGATCACATTCATCGAATTTAGGTATTTTGAATGCAACTTACTCAATAGTAACGGATGCGGCATAAATAATAATACTGCTAGTATTTCGTCAATATCTCGGTGAGTTTTCATTGTAGAGACTTGAGCGTAGTCTCAAGAGATTTTCCATTTAATTTTCTACAAAACCCTAAGAAAAGGGCATGCACAACAAATAACCGTGGATTCATAGGGTGTCAACACTGCAATGTCCCAAACGGGAGCATTTTCCAACCAATATTACCTTTTACTTTTATTTTTTCGCCGCACTTTCGTCACATAGAGAAAGACTGAATATGCCATTTTGCAACTCTCGCAATGGACTATCAGTTCAGAAAAAACTGATAAGTTTTTTATTTCAAGCCTTTGTGATCGGGACCTTTTCCCTTTTATTTCATATTCGATTTTCAACGCCCTGCTAATGGAACTCATTGTAAATTTTGTACATTTAGGACAAAGTGTAACATCTTCTTGACAATTTCGTTTTGCAAAGGTGCAGAAAAATGTTTTCACCATCATCTCTAACCAACCCAATTGGCGTACAAGTCTCCTTTTGGCACCCCTAGTGCGTGGGAGGAAAATGCTTAATGGTTGCAACTCGTTTTTCAAGGAAATCTGCCATAAGAAACTCACCATGTTGTCTAAGAAAGTCGTTTTGAGTGCCGTGAGAAAGAGCACGTCCGAAAACATGAAAAAATCCACATGAGAGTGCGTTCGCTCTGTTTAGCCAGGATCATAGACATAATTAATCTTCTGAAAATGTGCGCTGGAAAGTGCTTCCATTTGGGACATTGCAGTGTTGATAGCCTGTGAATCCACGGTTATTTGTTGTGCGTGCCCTTTTCTTAGGGTTTTGTAGAAAATTAAATGGAAAATCTCTTGAGACTACGCTCAAGTCTCTACAATGAAAACTCACCGAGATATTGACGAAATACTGGCGGTATCATTATTTATGCCGTATCCGTTAAATACATATGTTTGGACATCTGCCTGCTACTCTGTATCACATTTGCATGTTCGAATCAGACACCTTTATCTTTTACAAAGCCGCCAGACAAAATTCCGACACGATCAGCTTTTTTTCAGCTTTCTATCTTAGAAAAGCATTAAAAAACGATGAGGGATTTACATAGTCTTAATATTTAGCTTCAATTAGATTGTTAAACGATTGTTTTCAAATATTCAGGCTATGATGTTTTTGAATTTTATTGTTGAGTTAATGTTTTGTTATGGCTCGTAATTTTGTTTTTCAAAACCAAGCAGGCTGATATTTTTATCACATATAAAATCCACGATATATATCGACAAGTCTCTAACTTATCCGAAGTTAAGATGAAAACTGAGATTTGATAATATTCCGTCTTTCAAATTAATATTAATTTCTTCTATAATTGGTTAGTTAATCTCACCAGACTGAATGTCTCATGCAGAAAACATGTACAAAACATAGCAGTCATTCGTATACACAAATGCACACATCCATACGTTGATGATATAATACTTTGTACAAATAGAAAGCAAATTACATCTGTATATTCTCACCTCCCATGAATCAATCATCAAAACACTTTAATGTATTTTTTTATATTTTGAAAAAATTCAATTTATTGTGTTAAAGATCAGCTAAGATCTTAATATTAGTACGATACATACGTTTACAAATCAATTTCTCTTAAGGAAAAGGTTTTCTCTTCTCTCTCTCTTCATTTTATTATGTGTTGAGTTATTTAATATGTTGTACAGATGGTTTAGTTACACATATTATGAATTTTTTAATGTCCAGACTCTCTATTACCTAGTAATTCAAATGTTCTCATTTCTTTTGCATATTTAGCTGAAAAGAGAAATTATTTAATTAAGTCCTTGCTGAGTATGAACTTCTTGACGATACGGTTTGATGGTTACATTGTTCGTCACGTACTTCAAAGATACTGTGTTCAAATCTAGCTGCTAACAAGTTATGTAATAACCTCGTATTATAAAGTCAAATATGCACTCACTTGTTATACATATTGGTTGATTATTGTATACAATTATAAAAGAAACCTTTCGTTATTTTAAATTAATGCATCTATTCTGTGATAATGAATCATAATGAACTTTTGCGATGTCCTGATCAGGTTCTAAAACTCGAAAAGAATAGTAATACTAAAAGTTTGATTATGGTCCTGTTATCTTCATCAGGATGTCTACAAATATTCTACTAAATGCTGTAGAATAGGTAGGTATTTATCGTTTTTACCATTATGCGAAAAAGAAAAAGATATGAAAAAAAAATTTGTATGAACGTATGATATCCCTTAAGTAAAAGAAAAAGAGAGAGAGAGAAAGAGAGAGGGAAAGAGAAAGAGAATAAAAGTAGTGGTGGTGGAGTAGAATGATAGCGGTAGCGTTGGTATTATAATGTTACTTATTATCATGTAAACAACTTTCCGTTACTGATCGAACGTCAAACTTGCATTAATACTTAAGATTAGATTCATCTTAGAGGTTTGTAATTAGAACAGTTTTAAAAATTCTTTTCCTGGATTCGATCTTCCTATCTTCATACGTTGCACTTCTCTAACTACGCCCTTTCTAATTGTGCAAAAGGAAAATACAAGTTATGATGATACAGGTTATGATGAAGGCCGTAAACTTAAGCATATGTTTAAATAGTCTTTACAAGTAATTTAAGACTATTTAAATATATACATAAGTGTACGGCCTTCATATGAATGTATCATCATAACTCGTAGGTTCCTTTTGCACAAGTGAGTTCAATGGGAAAGTGCGTTGTTGGAGAAGTGCAACGTATGAAGGTAGGAAGATAGAATCCAGGAAAAGAACCTCTAAAATTGTTTTAATAAAATATCTTTCCTATAAACACGATAACTAAATAGGTTTGTAATGTGTACACACACCTTTATTCAAAGGTGGGATTAAAGACCCTATCTAAAAGATATATATATTAGTTGAAACAAACCCCAACTAGTAGTGGTTTTCCCAAGAAGTCAACGAAAAAAAACTAATACTACTTGAGAAGAAAACTTTTTACCAAGTATATATTTCAGAATGGACTTCTAACAGTTTTTCCAAGCAGTAATTTGGTATTAAAATAGATCCTGCGTAGATCTATGCCACAACAATGAATTAGAATGAAGGTAGATGGAAAAAGTTGATATAAATTACTGCTGCAACGCGGTTGAACTAGCAAATTGCCTGTTTGAACCGTAACGAAATCAGTCACGTAATAACCGTAGCAAGGTACTTATTCTCGTTGCCTCAGTGTGCGATCTAAAGTGTGGGCTAGAATTACTGAAACGAATCGACTACTAATCACTACTGAAACGTTTCAGTAATTCTGGCTCGCCCTTTATGGACAAGGGTGCTTACCTCGCTTTTCGACTGGTCAAGGATACCTATTTTAAAAGAAATAATACTCATGAAAGAATTATTTTATCCATAATCGTTACTACTAAAAATTTTAATTTTTCTTCTCATTTAGTTTAAAACTTGAAAAGACGAAGAATGGCATTAAGTCGTAGTTTAATATTTTTAATTAATATTCTTTGTATATTACTAGCTATAGCTGCATTTCTCACACAGTTTTTTGCTGTTGTTACTCATTATTGGAAACATCAACGAACAGAGTTAAAACCATTATTCTCCTCACAGCAGCGTATTCGAGATGATTCTCATCTCGATCAACGATATGGACTTTTCTCACGAAATGTCCATTTATATTCAAATAATGATCAACAAATGGACACGTGGACATCGACTAAATTTCCATTGACAAATGATCAATTAGCATTAAAACAATGCTATTCAAATATGCCAAGTCTTCGAGGAGTTATTTTAACTTGTACCGAGTATATTCATTCGGGTAGTTCTTGTCATTGTGCACGATACGATTATTGGAATGCGTTTATTGCATTTGAAATCACTGCACTTATTCTGTTAGGTTTAGTAGTTTTAATTAGTGCTTTATTAACCACATATTATCAAGGAACATTAAAACCTATCGGCATTGGACTTTCACTGATAGCATTTATATTTCTTCTCGTTGGTCTTATACTATTAGGTACACATTTAAAACGTGAAGTAGAACATTTAGGACGTTCATTACCAATAATCAAACAACGTTTATTACATAAAATTGGTACGGGAACAACATCAACAGCTGGAGAAAGACAACAAGATTACTCATATGACAAATATCGGGAAGCTCAATCAATTCTACGTCGCGCTCTCAAACGTCAAACAGACTACTATCAAGCACGGATAGAATATAATGACACTCACTATTATCAATTTTCTGAACAGTATAAAATGTTTATATTGTATCCTTACAATAATTACACATCTTCATTATATTCTCAACAATATCCATATCAACATCAACGACCAACATATTATATAGTCAATGAAACATCATCATACGAACAACAGCCTGTTATATTAACGGCTCATATTGATTCTACTACCAGAGATTTACCAGCATTAAATAAAACATTTATATTTAGCCATAGTCGTGCATGGATAGGATGGTCAGCAATCCTCTCAATAATATCATTAATCTTATCATTATTATATCCACTTTTATTAACAGTATCATGGTTAATGGGCGGAAACAAAAAGAAAACGCATAAAAAGAATGTTACAGTTAAAAAACCAATGGAATATACACCCGTTCCAACGACACCTCCTGATGCGATTCCTCAACAAACAACAGCAACAACAATACGGTATGTACCGACTGATTATGATACAAGACGTTTAATGATGGAAGAACCGTTCTATGATCCATTTTATCGTGGTGGACCACGCGATGCACGGCCATTAATTGTTCGAGATATAGTTCTTAGAGATGATCAACTTCCACCACCTGAACACTATCATTTACAACGTCACTATGCTCCGTACCATACTCATCGTCCATATCGTCATCCTGTTGATCGTCAATTACCCATTAATATCGACGTTTCACCACATTCATATCGTGCTTAGAGAGGATAAACAAAAGAGCTGAATGACAACAGTAGCCATTTTATTTGTCAACAAACTGTGATATTGTCCTTGGAGAAAAAATATATTTCGACTAGAAATCGAACCAATATCAAAAAACAACAACATTATAATTTATATTTTGATTTATGTTTCGTTACAAAATGCAATAGAAATTAAACATTCTACTTACCAATAGAAACACATCAGGGCAATTAGCTATGCCTCCTTTCATTTTTCATAGTTGTTTTTTTGTTTTAAACAAATATTTTCACATTTACATATACATTGTATTTTTTTTCTGGCAGTTTTTCCATTCATCACACAAACTTCTTAGACACAGCACAAAAAAAAAAACTTAAAATATGCTGTGGTTAGATTATAATATTCATTCACCATAGAATTCTTTAACTAACAGCTTGAAATATTTACTATTACATCAACAAACTTTTTATCTTATATACAGAAGAAAAAAAATGCATAAAAATGGACGGATTTATCATTCTGTAAAAATCTATGTTTATTTTTTAAAACTGTCTTCTGTTTCTTGAATTAATTTTAACACATTGTCATAATCATCACGTGTCTCTTTTAAAAACATCACTTTCTCGTTAAGTGATGTTGTTGATGATGATGATAATTGGTTTGTATTTTCAACATGTTGATTTTTATTTATAAAATTAGTATTTTTATTTTCAAGTGTTTCAATTTGTGTCTCTAAAGTGGCACTATTTTGAAAAAATTCATTACATGTTCCATGTATCCATTTATTATCTAATACTTGTAAAGTGGGAAAATTATTAAGTACATCTTGATAATAAAATGTTGTATTACACATTGGATTCGATAATTTTTCATCATGATTCCATAAACATAGACTACGTAATTGAACAAGATTTATCAATGGTGAAAGCGATTTCAGTCTAAAGAAAAAGATCAAGATATTTCATTATTGTTCTAAACTGTTATCTGATATTAATAAGTTTATTTTGAGATATCACATTTTAACGAATGGTACTTAACAAAGTCATATAATCGCTTCTTTCTCTTTACTTTAAAAGAGTTAATTTTCATCTTTAGCTACTACTAAATAGTGATGATATAAAAAGTGTTCTTAACACTCATCGGATTCTAAAATACTCAAAAATGTGTTAACAAATTTTTTTCAATTGATCAATTGTTAAGCAAAACAAAAAAAGTATATATAACCTCTGTTATAAAAGTTTTTACACAAAATTAAAGCCTTAAGAAAGCTTTTTTTCTGAATTGAAATGTGCATTTCGAAATCCACATTTAGTAAACTTTTCAAAAAAGTTTTTACAATTTTTTGTTTCGGAGTTATTAATATTTTATTTGATAATCTCGAAAACTTTACGAAGAAAGACATCATTTTTACAAACTTTAATGTAGAGGAACTGTAATAATTTTGGTTTGAATATCAGTTTGAAGAGCATACATTTCTCTACAAAATGGTATATCGCATGTATCGATACGACTTTACTTTCAAAAATTATAAGCATTCTACAAAAAGCTCTGTTTTTTCAAAGTTTGCTTTCTTTACAAAATTTACTATATACAACGTTTTACATGGTATAAGGCTTTTGGAAAAAGTGCATATAACTTTTTGTAATAAAGTTGTATAAAACGGCACGAAATACCATTTTGTAGAGAAATGTCTGGCCTATAATCCAGTATACAAATAAAATCTAATTCTCCATTTGTCGTCAACAGTATAGCGTCTTCTTCCTGTCTACAAAGAGAATTTTCAAGATTATCAAATAAAACATTAATAACTCGGAAACAAAAAATTGTAAAAACTTTTTCAAAAATGTTTTGAAAAGTTTAGTAAATGTGGATTTCAAAGTGCACATTTCAATTCAGGAAAAAACGCTTTCTTAAGACGAGAAATGAGTTTTAATTTTGTGCAAAGACTTTTGCAGTAGAGGTTATATATATATACGATATTTTTCTACACTATTAAATTTTGAATATCGATCTATATCCTTATAGAAATTCTCTAGACTGTAATTAATTTAAGCAAAACGTTTGATGAATAGTTGAGTGAGTGAATGTTGAAAAATTTGACTATTAAGTATTATCTTATTCAATCATGACAAATGTTCTCTAGTGACGAGACACCAATGTATACAATTTAATAGGTGAACAAGTACAACTATGATACATATTTATTGTTTTCACAATATATCTTATTTCTTAATCTTTTTCTTAATTATTGTTTCTTTATAGTTTTCTTTTGAACAATGGACGAGAGAGAGAGCGAGAGAAAAAGAAAGAAAAAGAAAGAAAAATATCATTTTTATCAATTGAAGATCCCAACAATACATCTAAGTCAATGGTGTGAACTTTACGAGACTCAATAGAAGAAAAAAACTTCAAAATTTATATAGTAAAATGAATATTTCACAAATATTCAACGAATAAAATGTTTTTTCATCTTTTATGATTAATTATTTTTTTATAAAAGGTATGAATAAATAAAAAAAACTTACGTCATAAATTTATGAGACGAGACTAAGCGTTACATTTTCGACGACAAAGTATTGCGTCTAATAGATTCTAGTCATATATTCAAGTTTGGCATAGACATGTTGAAACTACTAATCACTTTCGATATCCTAAAGTTTTAAAAACAACATATGTGTACAGGTTTGCAAGTACTGATGAGGAAGTACAGTAGAACAGATTGAGTAGTGTTTCGTAACTGCATATATCGGTTCTGCTCCTTATCTATGATTAATATTTCTCAATCTATTCAGAAAAAAGCTATCATTGAACCTTCTTAAATAGAAATTGGTCTTTTTGTAATACACAGGTTTTAAGGTTAGGGTTGAGTGTTATCGAATCATTTGGTATTGTACAATCTTAGAAATACTTTTTATGTCTGCATTACGAAAGCCATATATTTTTCATAAAGTATCGTAAAAGACATGTGCTATCTCCTATGTAATTTTGATGGTATTATAAAAGTTATAGAACGGCTTAATTATCTTAATTAAGGTGAGTGACTTGTTAAAAAAAACAGTTAACTAGGTGTGAAAAATGCATATAAACATGATAATATCCACCGATTAACATAAATGTTTCTTTTATAGTGAGTCTTCACTGACGCGTAGCAGATTTTGTCTATATAAAGTCTTTGACACACAAGCTTTGATTATCGATACTTTGTAGGGAAAAGCCTATATAAAACTAAGAATACACCGCAATGAAATCTACTGACGACTCGCAATAAATAGTTATGAAAAGTACTTAGACTATAACGATCATTTTCTGTTCAAAATTTTGTTGATGCGTCACTGCTGTCTGTGTCCTATGTTTATTTTGGGCAAATTCTCTGTAAACAAACTCCACACAATGATAGAGTGATTTACGAATAGTTTCTGGTATATAAAAATAAATATTCATATCTCACTCAAAATTCAACTTAATCATTCGTAACATTTAGAACATCATTAGTAATTCTGACTAGATTAGATATTTAGAATATCGAAACAACATGTTCTAGAAAACATTAGCACATCCTCCGAATAAGAAAACAAAGATTTCACTTTTCTAGTTTTTTCAACATATAAATTAACAGAATATTGTGTAAACGTTTCAAATGATTTGATCGCACTTTAAGCATGATATGAACATTTATTTTTATAAGCACACAGATAAAATTAAAGTAATTTTCTCGAGATTTTCTCACTTTTTCTGTGATGAAACAATGAGCAAACATGAGAATGATCGATCGATAACTAAAGTTTTTATTCATTTATAATGTTACTAATGCCCACAACTAAAGCTAAGATATATTTCAGGAAAATATTCACTATTCGGAGATGGATGGATAATCTAACAGATAAGTTATCTTCCACAAAAAAATCTCGAATATTCAGACTATACTAGAAAACTAAAAAATGGTGGCGTTGTTTTTTCACTTGCTTTTTACTCGCAAATCTTATTTTCAAAAGTCATTTTTTATCAAAAGGTGCAGAAAAGTATTGGCTATTCTACAATGAAAACCAATGACAACCGTTCGTCATTTACTTCTAATCAAATGTTGTTTAAAGATGATAGAATCCATTATCTTTTTAAAAAAAGGAGGCATATGAAAATCCTGTACTAAACAGAGTTGGACGAATTTGTACTCTCAAAAAGTAATCCCAGGTCCAGAATCCTTTTCGAGTTCGGCTGTTTTTGAAATTGTTCTTCTTGAAACTGTATTATTATTATTTATACAATAACAATTCTTAAGACATTCTTTCCTTTTGGGACCTTCGCAAAAAGCTGTTACTATCCAGTTTAATATTTTTAAACTAGAATTGAAAGTCTATTTTTCATATTTTTCTTTTTGTCTCAATTCTTTATCTGCTAGCGTCGGCAAAATTTTTAACAAATCAGTCTTTTATTCGACTTCATTACGACCATTCGAAACACCAAATAATCGGGCTGAAAATTTTCATCATAGATGCTAACAACACTATCTTAGATGTTCTTTTTTATGAAGAAATATTGTTTTCTTCTGGATTTATGGCTAAATATTGAGGAACTGCTAAAAATTATAAACCTTATAATTTTAAAAGGAAGCAATATTTTCAGATAACCGAGAAAGTACATTTGTGATAGGATCTTGGGTATTTATGGTTAGAATGTCAGCTCGCTTGGCTAATTTTTACAAGGAATTATAATGACATCCATGAAGTGGTCTTTCGTACAGAATACTACACAGCATGCCTAACTTAAAATTAATAATTTTTCAAAAAAGAGGAGGAGCAACCTTACGAGGGAACATCCCGAAGTGTTCCTCTGAGATTTTGAAGAATACATGGGATCTGGTAGCACTGATCACGAATATGATATTTTTAGCTGCCACCGTTAGCTCGCTGCCGAGTTAGAGTAGTTTATTTTACTTTGCTCAAAAAATGATCTATTTTCGATTGATCACAGTTTTTTGCAGATACGTTAGTCACATTCGTTTAATATGCTATTTTGTTGAGAAACTCTTCATCTACAATTTGGTATATGGGACATAAGAATGCGATTTATAGTATTCGAGAAACAAATGAGCATTTACTGTACACGTATCTTTTGCTATGCATCGTAATTGTTTGTTCCTATATTTCTATACAAAAAAATAATTTTGTATTTTTTAATATGTCAATTTGTAGGAAAATCAAAACACTTTCTTATGATATATTCCATTTGACTTTAACGTTTATTATCAGTATAAAAGTATCAGTTAGCTTTCAACTGTATCTATTTCTTGATAATCCTACCGATAGAAAGGGTGAAGCACTATGGAAAACGCTTGATAAGTATAATTTTAACGCTCGAATTATTATGTTCCAGATACGAAATTGTAGACGACGAGTTCCTCAACAAAATAGCATATTAAACGAATGTGACTAACGTATCTGCAAAAAACTGTGATCGATCGAAAATAGATCATTTTTTGACCAAAGTAAAATAAAACTACTCTAACTCAGCAGTGAGATAACGGTGGCAGCTAAAAATATCATATTCGTAATCAGCGCACTTAGCGCTACCAGACCCCATGTATTTCTTCAAAATCCCAGGGGAACACGTCGGGATGTTCCCTCGTTAGCTTCAGTCGCACTGCTGTAGTATACTTCTGTCGCAGTTTATTCGTAAAATTATTCCGTTTCGCGCCTCTTCTACTGGAAATCCGATTGAGAAAAGTCAATTGAAACAGATGCAACTGAAAAGTACAACAACGGATTTTTTAAGATATGAATTAATATTTCATAGAGGAAAACACAATATTGTAAATTCTAATTCATTCGTAATAAATAAAGCTTAAGTTACCCAGCCAAGAGATTTCCTTCCAAATTGATCGTTTCTAAGCTTTCACAAGATTGTAGTCCATCTAAAATGTTTTTTCTAGCAGACGTTAACTCTAATTGATCTCAAATTACCTATTGAACTAATTTGATTAAGAGATAAATCTAAATGTTTTAACAAAACTAATGTGCCAAAACTTCGAACATTTGTTAATGAATTATTCTTCAAGTTCAATATGATCAAGTTTCGACATGCACCAAGACTGTTTGCATCAGTCAACCCTTCAAAAAACAATAAACCTGAGTGATATCAAAGCTTTATAATGGCGAAAAGCATACCTCTATTACTTAGATCTAACACGAATATACTTTCAACATCGAACTGTCCCTGTTCAAGTTTTATGGTATCAATAAGAGATTCTAAGAGTAAAAAGTTTTTTAATACTAAAATTGCTTCGAAAATTATATTTTCTGTTCATAATTACTTTTCTGATCATTGGCCATCTAGAAAAATATATACTTATAAAAGATTTTTAGCAAAAGAAAATTATCAATACTGGAAAAATTAATTTTTTTGTGCAAAAAAACCATATGATCTTGTGCATAATAACTGTGATAAAATACTTATGAAAAATATTTCTATTGTGCAAATGGATAGTGAATTATCAGATTTTTGATACGTGAATATAGATGTATCAAATGTTTTTTTATTTTAAACATTATGTATATATGTATAGAGAGAGAAAGACATGTGTATTTTATATAAATATACACACACTTGTATTGTTTTCCATAAAACACTTGAAAAAAAAAAGACAGAGAAAAAAAAGAAAACAGTAACAACAACGCTAGTGAGAGAGAAAAACGTTTGTTCATCAGAATAATAAAAATCGTGCCTACATATTAATGCGAATCGTCATCATCATCCTGATTAAGTGTCTAACAAATAAAGCGCAAAAAAAAACAAAATCAATAACAACAACAACAATAATAATAATAATTATGTTTTCCTGTGATTTTTTCACAGTTAAAAATACTCATACTAAATTCTATACACAAGAGCAGGAGTCAGTATTTTAACAACGAAATGCACAGATATGAAAGTATACCACTATACCGTACAGATTGAGAGAAAACACTGAGCGTGAAAGTGTGGAAGTATAAAGAATTATTTTAAAAAAAAACGAGAGACTTATCAAAAACAAATTTCATTACGTAAAAAACCGATAAAACTACCGGTTATTTATTTAGCCATGTCCCCATTGTTGGCTAGGAGACTCATCAGATCAGGTGGATAACATTAGAAAATGGAATTTAAATATGTGTTTTGAGTGTCGAGACTAAGAGAGATTCCTGCACACATTGTAAAGTCGAGCGCGACATCAAGACAGGGTGGCCGATGATTTTTAAAATTACTGTTATGACAAAGAAAAAAAAAAAGAAAAAATGACAACAGAATATCAGCCAATATGGCTTTAGCGAAAATATATATAAAATCAAAAGAAAAAAAAATTGCGTTTTTCAAATTCAAAGAACCATATAGAAGTTTCTGTTTTAAAAAAATAGAGTATGACGGAACAAGAACAACTCATTTATATGAAGTAAAGTGAAGTTTAGTTAGATGAAATAAATTAAAAGAACAAAAAGAAAACGAAAAATAACCTGCCCGAAAAAAAAATGCCAATTATTCATTGCAAAATATAAAAAACAACAAAAAAACAACAAAGATGCGGGATAAACCGAAATAAAAACAAAATATGAATATATATTCATCATCATCATACAAATTTAACAAACGCATGATATAACCTTAACAATGTTTCAATATGAATTGGTAAACAACTTGCTCGTTCATTTGTTTTTGGATCGATTAACAACCATGATAGACGGTTATAAGATTCAAGAACATGTCTAAAAGCAAACAATTTAAGAATAAATTTTTTTTAGTCAAACATTAGAGTTCTGGCATAGTATGAATTATTCAACATCACACGTGTTGGAGCAAACTTTGAACATGATGTGACTACGACAAATACAACGTTTAAACGAAAGTGTTCTCATGTATGTTTAAAGTTCAGATGAGAATTAGGTAAAAATAAAATAGAAATTCAGATGTATTACCTTAAGACAACATATGTAAAATTAGAATCAAGAGGATGTGCTAATTTTTGATCAATATTTTGTTGAAATAACATATCATCTGATTGCTGTGCATTTGGTATATGCATATGTAAGGTGGCTTTAAATATACTACAGTTTTTATTATTTCGTTCATTATAACTATTGTTTAACATCCATTCGGGTAGTTTATTCAATGTATTCACTGTTGAAACATAAAAACCGAGGGCTAGTGGTTGTTGATGTAACGATGGTATTTCATTTAAATCAATATCATAATGTGATTTTCCATTCACGTTTAAACCATTATCTTTAGAATTATAATCATTTGTTGTTGTTAAAGTGTTTCCTGATCTTCCACCGTTACCAGCATTCATGCCATTCATGCCATGATAACCTAGACCACCAATATTCGTTTGAAACGTATCTGTTAAATCAGTTGTAGGTGGTGGTGGTGAAACGAGATCGAATGCATCGTTTGGTGGTCCTTCTGCTTCAGGGTCTAATTCACGAAACAATTGATTAAAAAAATCTTCGTCATTTTCAGTGTTGGCTATATTCATTGGATTAACATCATTACGTGTTGTTAATGTTTGTGATGTCTAAAAATCAATATTAATATATAATGAAATAGAAAATAAGATAAAAAACTAAACATACCTGCACGGATGCTGACGTTGGTAATGTTAAAATGTGCGTTACAGATACTTCGTCGACAATTTGTCCTTGGGTACCGGCTGCTCGCACATCAGCAAGCTCAATCGATTCAGGTAGAATAGTCAAAGATGTATGTGTTTCCAATGATATGAGACATGCTGACAATATCACTGGTTGATCTTGAGAACGTAATGTATGACACGACTGACATGTTTCACGTATGATATTTGCGCAACGTACCAAATTTTTCTTAGATAATATTACACCCCAGCCTTGAATTGAACAAATAAATATAAAGAACCCCGAAACATAATCATAGAATGTCAGCTTACTTTTTACTTCACCGTGTCCTAATCGTCCTAGTCGTCCAATAACAATTCTCCATGGCATTGTGGTACTTGTAATTATACGCATAATGAAATTCCATAATTTTTGTAAACCAATACGACGTGCATGCTGTATTTTTCGTCGATGTCTGTAAACAAACCACAAATTTTCAGTATTTAGTCTACATAGTGTTCTACTCTTCCCTTTTTCGGTTAAAAGATAAGTAATGGTTCAGTTACCTGTCAGTTACTTCAATATTGATTGAACATGTTTCTAATAATTCACCTCTATCATCCGAACAACTAACTAATAAATAACGCTGATCATCAGATAAACAATATGAACAAAATAACACACAACCATTATTAGATATCTCGTTTGGATCAGAAAATGATTTATATCGAAAATCAGATTTTGGTGATAATATATACGCTGGTGTATATACTTGCATGAGCTAAAGTAAATAAAAGTAATAAATTTATATTATAATTGTCATTTGAGTATAATAAAACAATTTGCAGTTTGAAAACTTATGCAATCGACTTTGAGAGTTAATTATCCCTCTTTCATATATCTTACAAGGTGAACAATTACGTACCGCTTTTGTTAATGCCTTTTCTTCTGATGCTGCAGGTCCAAATCCTGTTAATGATTTTGCACGTGGTGTATATGTTATTGTTTTTCTTAATTGGCCATAGACATGAAATGCTAAACGTTTCAACTGTGTAAACCTTAACTCAACATCGGATTCTAATTGTTGGCCAACAACTGATTCAAATGGGACAATCTAAATCAGATAGGATAAGATTTTAGTTTGTCTGTTGAACAAGAAAAATCTCATACTTGTATATTAATTTTCGTTACTATTTTTTCTGGTAGTAATTGAATAAGATCCATATAGGCACGTAGTATCCCCTTTTTCACGTGACATTCTAATTCCTCATCGTTATGATTTGAATTATTATCATCAATAGAATCATAATGAAATGTATCAATAATATATAAAACAATGAAGAGTTGATCATCATTTGATGTTCGACCTTGTTGTAAACTATCAAAAGCTAGTAAATCTTGAGGATCAATTGCACTGTTTATAAGATTATTGTTCATACTATCACCAAGTCCGCCAGTAATGGCTGTGGATAAAGAATTTAAATTAGCATACAAATTCATATTCGACTTATCAGTTGAAGAGGGAGATGCAGAGGGGGCTAATAGACCGATGTCACTATTCATTTCACTTGATGACGGTGTTGTCGATGTATTCGAAGAAATATCATTTGGACCGTTGCGTTTTGGCGGTTCGTCATGAAGTGTATGATCAAGAGTTTGAGTTTGAAGTAGATATTCTAAAATAAAAATAAATTAAAAGATAGACGAAAATTGATTGAGTAAAATGCTTCAGAAAGAATTGAAATTGCTTTCATACGTCTTCGTTCCTCACTCTTTGCTACTCCCTGAAAACAAATGGCATATGATCATCTGTTGTTTACCTCAGTAAAATATACTCAAATAAATTTCATAGATAACTAAACTCAATAGACTTACGTAGATGTGATTTCAATGTTTGAGCATATAATTTTAATCTTGCACCAAGTGGATGTGTTTCATTATCAGTGAACCACTGATCAACAGAAATGGACGATGTGGACAGATTAGTTGTCGTCGTTGTGGATGATGATAATGGATCACTGTTTTGAGAAGAAGAAGACGATATATTATTTATCCTTAATAGTCCGTTATCTGGAAACCATTTTAATAATGGTCGATGTACACCAAGACGGCATAATTCATAGTTTGTTGATAATTCACGAAGATAAAGTTTTGTTGTTGAACAAACATAATCATTATCTGGTACAATGCATATGTAAGCAATATCTTTTGCTTTTGAATATGGTTCAAGACATAATTTATCCCAAAATTTTAGACCATACGGCGCTAATGTTAACCAATCGCGATCTAATCCGGCCATCACATAGGGAATTGGTTGTGGACCAGTTAATTGTTCATCTAATTGTATATGTTGATTTTGTGTGTATAATAATTGATTAAAATGTTTCCACGTTAATGGTCCCTCAATTGAATTCCAAAGACCACTCACAGTACGTTTATTCAAAGCATCAACTAATAAGGGTTGCAAGGAATTTAACATGCCTATTAATTGTTGATCAGAATCCAGTGGAGCTAAAACATGGATAAGTGAGAATACAAATCAAAGTAAGAAATGTTGACATACATGGTGAATATGGCCACAAATGTAGCCAATTGTGTTTATCAAGTTCATCTTTAGCCAACATGGTATTGTCCATAACATTTCTAGCTTGTTCTATTGCCAAACAACATGCACAATTCTCATCTAAATGAGGAAACGTAAAAGCTATTTTATAGTGCAGAAAAGACTATTTATTCTTACTGAAATAAATTGGATTTTTCAAGATTTTTGACGAAGATTTTGTTGTTTCACTGTTATTTCCTCTTAATTGGTTTTTATCGACATCTGTCGTCGATTGTAAATCATCATTCGTCGTCGTTGTGATTCTATCTATGACTTCCTGTGTATTAAAATATTCATATGGTGATGGAAGACATTCTTGTTTTTCGATCATTTCAATTAAATTTGGGGATAATTTTTCAACAATATTTAATGATGTTTTATATGTATATTTTGTTTCGTATTTGATTCCAGTTATTTCAATTTCATCTTCATAGAATAGACCAGCATTGGCGCCCAATTTTAGATTAACTACGGCACTAAAACCACAGGAACATACATTATGATTATTTGTACTGGCTGTGGCTGGCATCATCGTTTGTCCTGGCAATGAATGTTGATGATCATAGCGATTATGACCATGTAGATACTGTTGATGTGGGAGCATATTTTGATAGTTCGATAATGGATGATGAGGAAGATGCGGTTGCTGATGTGGATTCATTTGATGTGATGGTGGTTGTTGCATCGATTGTTGTTGTTGCTGTTGTTGTTGTAGATAGATTGTTGCATCTGTTCCACGTATACTCAATTCATTCGGTGTACAAGCGCAAAGCACGCAAGAGTCAAAATTCATATCACGAAAGATATTTAATATGCTGTCGTTTAATAATATGTTGAAATATAATGAATCTGCTTCGGCTACCCGTTCATATGTCGAAGATATTGAATTAATTGCCGACGCAGAATAGGGTTCAATACTATTACGTGGTTGAACAGATCCAGGTCCTGGACTAGCTATGACGCTTCCTATTGAACGAACAGAATCGACAGAGCGTATGGACGGAATTGATGTGTTCATGGGAGAATATGTTAAATTTGTGCCTAATGGTGTGGAAATTGCTGTTGACGGTACACTACCTATACCCACACCACCCGGAGTAGAACGTGGTGCATGTCGACGGTTGTCAACTGGACTCATAGAACTATAATAAATTATGTATAGTTAGAAAAAAGAAGGGTTAGTAAACTCAAGAGAGAAAAGGCATAGTATTTTCAAAATTATGTGCAACAGACCATAACTATTAAGAACAAATATAGAAAACATACTCAGTTGGCGGCTGCTGCTGTTGCTGCTGCCACCTCAAGTGTCTTGATTGTGTTGTCCATGAGATAGATGATACAGATAAGGACGAAGTAACTGGTGTCGGTTCATATCGTAAAGGTTTTAGTTCTTTTGTGGTCAAGCATGGTTTTGTTAAATTATTTGGTGAAATCTTTTTTAGCGGAAAATACGCAGATTGTTCTTCAATAATAACAGGTTCAAACTGAGCAATGATTGATTCACTGTTAAATTGTTTTAATATCTCTAATGCTGGTGTTGATGAAACGGATAAAAGGGCGGCTTCTAGTTTTGCTGCGTAGACAGATGCATTTGGATTTATCACAGTCTCAGTTGTATAAGGAGAATGAAGGCAGTTGAGTTTATCGGATGATGAAGAACCTGGCGGTGTAGCGTAAATTTCTTCTAAACCATGAAAATCTAAATGAGAAATATGAGGACAATCCTTCATACAAGAATAAAAATAGAAAACTTACTGTTTAATGGTTTCATAGTCGTACATGTGATATGATTTGTCATTAATGTTGATGTTATCATTGTATCTCTTCGTTCGTTCTGTGGCGATCGTACTTCTCCATTGGTCGAAATCGTTGTAGTCATCAAATTTGTCGGTGTTTTTGATTCATTTGGATCATTTAGTTGTACTTCAAAGATTCTTTCAAGATCAGCATAGGATGGTTTCAAATCATCTATTTTATAATACTGCTGACGACTTTGTTGAGCTATCGAAGTTGAGGAAGAAGCAGCAGTAGCAACTGCTAAAGTCTCGAGTGTTTTTCCATATGAACTGGTTTTTGAATTTAATGATACTGAGTCATCTTCATCATCAAAAGCATATGGATCCTGAATGAAAAACAATTACAGAGTGCAACATCTTTCCAATTTTTGTTTAACATGTAAAACATGCAATATGGGCAATATTTTACCTTATTGATTTGAGTTGGGGTGGGTGGCGTTGCTAGTCCATAACGGTATATTTGATCGGACCCATTGGCAGATACTATCGATGTTGTTGTGGACGGTAATGTTGACGATGATGATACTTGCTGCATGGTTGTACATGTATCAGTATCTTGACGAAATCTCTTCAATGGAAGTTGCAAGCTACAAATACATAAATTAAAAATTCTGCTCGCTGCATCCTGTTTCAACAGTAAAGAAAAACATACAATGTGTCTGTTGCATGGAAATCGTATGTTTGTTTTGCCTGTTGGATACCATCATTTTCATCGTCATCATCATATCCACGATAAGATTCATCAAGTACATTAGATGATCGTTTTAAACCTTTTTTTTCTATTGTCGATGTTAGCACAATAGGAATTGGTGAATTCGCAGCTGTTGTTGAAATAACTGACGGTGGACCACCTGTAGTTGTTGCTTGCTGATTATCCCAATCGTTGCTGGCAGACGAAGAGGGTTTATCATTTAAAATTTGAGGTATGGTCGATGATAATAAGTCAACATTTTGACAGTTAGAAGCAACAGCATTATCAGTGATTATATTTTGTTGTTGATCAGATGTATTATTTCTTGCCGTTGTCGAAGAAAATAATTGTGCAGAATTCTATTGAAAAAAAAGAAACATCCCAGTTTTATTAAGTATTGAATATTTTTGTGTTATTTACATGAGAAACAGAGGAAGCAGACGCGCTTAGAGGGACAGTAGTAGATGATTGGGAGTGTAAATCAGTTTTTGATCGCGACAAATCATCTGTTACTCTTGGCCGACGATGAAATGGTATAGTATTCACAGAATGATGTCGTGTATGAATTGATGAACAGATTCTAAAAGACAATAGATCATTAGAATATGGTATAGGATTGCACACACAAAAAATTAAACATACTGGCAACGGCATTGTCGTCGATTTAGAGGATCGTTTATTGTTGAACATACAACACGATTTGATGTCATCATTTCTTGTCTGAAAAAGAAAAAAATTAAAAATAACTAATAACCTGTTTAATTACAAAAATATTCATCTTACTTTTTCTCCATATCAATGCAGTTATTTCTTTGTGCACTTATTAAAAGATTATTAGCAAGTTTTTTTGTTTCTCTAATATCAAGCTTTTGTATTATTGGAGATAGAGTGTTATTTGTTGTTACTGTAGGTTTTGAGATTGATTTTAGAGATGAAGTTTGAGAAGATGGCGAAATTTTTGAAGTGGAATTTGTTGAACTTTCGTTATTCGTAGTTGTTAATGGTTCATTAGTGGTAACTTTATATATATAACATGTTGGATACGACATTCGGACAGCACCTTAATAAGAAACACATGAGCCTAGATAAAACAAGATATTCGCTTAACTAGGTAAGAGAAAGTATCGTTTATAAAGGAATGATAAAATCAAATTGTTAATTGTTTATCCTATCGTTAAATTTCTCGACATGCACTGTTCGAAAAAGTTATTTAATTTCAACTGTTATATATATCAAAGGTAACCTGAAATTTACTTACCAGCTAAAACTTCAACGAAATCCGGCATTCCATCTATTTTTCTAATCGGATAGTTTCTTTCCCAATTGTCTTTTAAATTATTCATGTCTATGTCACGTGACAGTTGACCGATAAATGTTGCGTTAATACCATATGGTGCTAGAATAACTTCAAAATAAAACAGAAAATATATAATGTTGTTCTTAAACATTTTCTTGTAATTGTTTTTTTTTACCATTTGTTAACACTTTTTCTAAATCTTTGACTGTTAACGTTGAAATTGGTCGATGACGTTGTACATCAACGCTTGCACACACTTTATTATCACCGTGTAGAAAAAAATTAAAACTGAATGAATAATTTGGCCTATGAAAATCAAAAGACAAACCACAATTACAATTAAGCAAATATATTTCAGAGAGAGAGGGAGAGAAGATATGCTTACATTCTGAGATCAGAATGATCATTCACAGGCAAAACAAACCATTTATTTAATCTTGCAAAGCCCTTTGTCAGTAAACATCTAAAAGAGTAAAAGAGATAGTAAGGTTTTCTTTTTTATCAATTTTTTAAGATCTTACTTACTTTTCAATCATATTATGTAATGCTTTAAATAACATTGAGCGACAATCGTACGACATTGAATCCCCATTCATTGATCCATTACATTGTTGAACAGCTATAAGTTTTCAAAAAAAATTAATTAATGATAGCTTTATGCATAAAATTCAATAAATGGGTAACATGCTTAAAAGGAATATTGATTTCATGTACATACGTCGTAAATTTGGCAAATCCGATGGTAAATCTTCATTGATACCAAATAACCATAGTTCCCTTTCGATTTTTGATTCTTCTGTTTGAACTTTTCTCCATGCACATAATGTATCTGTTCGTAAACAATGCCAATAAGCTAGCAGTACAGGATCTTTATATTGATCACAACGTCCTTGACTTGTTGTTTCTAGACGATAATTAGTCGAACGACGAAAGCATTTCCATTTCATATCATTTAGACTTTGCTAGAATTTAAGTTTATTTATAGAAATAAGTTAAAAAAAATATACGATTGCTAATACTTACCAATGAAAATAAATTTGTATGGCAATGTTCTAAACTGCATGGTGTGCTCATCTTTTCTGTTTTATCTCTTTGTGTTTTTTTTAGAAAAACAAAATATTTATGTTTGATTGGAATGATTAAAAATAGGCATGATGATCGCAATTTTATTTTATAGCAGATCTCACTAGTGCCATAAAAAAAAACAATGATCTAAAACATAAACATAGTGCATGAGATGAAATATCTTTTAAATTTGTTAAAATATTAAAAAAAATAGAAATACTAAAAAAGTTATTGTTTACTATTTTGATGTTTTTTTATTTTGCTTCATAAATTTTTTAATAAACATCAGTAATTATAATTTAAAACATATGTTTTTCCTTTGTCTTTCTTTTTCTTTTAGACATCAGCCATTATTTTCATATCTATTCTTTGATCAAAACACCTTCCAGAGTCTAAGAGCGACAAGTGTAGAAAAATGACGCAGTTAAGCGACTGTCTAATAGTCGTCCGTTTGAATGAAAATAAAGCACATTACGATAGGCTTAAAACGAGCCTAATATTCACTGATTTAAACAGCTGATGATTTTTCTTGAAAAAAAAAATATTGGAAAATCCTATATAAATAAATTGCGATGATATCTTATCATTAATGTGAACTATAAAAAGAATGTTTTCTAGAGCGCTAAAAAGATGTTTCATCACAAACTACTAGAAGCTATTTACAAAAGCTGATAGTTTCTATTATTCTTGTGTCTTGCGCTGAAAGGATCAACAATGACAGAGAATCTTAAACATACTGCAAGGTAGATAACTGAGTTGTTTTATATACATTGTAAAGTGACGTCTTAGACTAGGTCAACCAGCCTTTTCAATGAATGATAGTATGACCTCATTTGAGGTTTCTTCGAGATGTTCTGGCTAATAAAAAATGAAAAATTGTTGAAACGTCGTATTTTCGAATTGTAAACTTGAGGGAGAGAGAGAGAGATTTTTTTGTTTGAAATCTCTACAGCTTCTACATTTCCCCCCAAAGCTCACTTTTTTATCCGATAACATTTTGATCCTTCGCATGAACCGATTGAGCAAATATTTGAGAATATTTCTGAAGTATCATTTATTGTTCCATTATTTTTTTTGTCGCTAAATTATTGCAAATTTATTAAAAAGCATCTCCAAAACGAAGATTTTCAACTTTCGAAAATCTATAGCTTGAAATGGTAAAATTAAATGATAAAAAGGTATCTGTGGTAATGCTTAAAGATAATCTCTGTTTATCAAAGTTCATTGTATATTTTCATGATGTAAATCTTAGAATGTTATGAAAATAGACAGCCATCGTCGTATACATTTTCAGTGAATATTAAGGATTATCTCACTGTAACAGTGCAAAATTGCATCAAATAATCACATATTTTCCAAGTGATCACATGCAACTGATTGTATCTAATTAGATGGGAATTAACAAGCTTGATTAGTTTTAAAGTAAACTGTGCTTATATTTCGCAATTTTCTGCTTTTTGAAGAACAGTATCAGCAAGTTAATTTTCTTTCGAGTTTTACTCGTCAGCATACGACTGAAATGATTTCGGAAGAAGGGCAAAATCAAACTTTCAAGATATAGAAATCGGATTGTCCATATAATCACAAAACTTTGATGTTCTTCTGGTGAAGTTTATGAAAAAAATAATTACAAATCGGACCATTGTGATAGTGCCACCTGCAATTATTTCAGAATTAATATGTTAGTTAAAAAACATTTCCAATAATAGCTTTTGATACGTTTGCAGGGATAGATTCGAATTTATTTCTTATAAAACGACAATAAAAAAGTGTATTAAAAAAAGAAAAATAGAATTTATTGATTAACGCTTGTTTATATCATACCATGATACCACGACTTGTTTCAAAATATCGAAATGTTCATTTTGTACTGGATGTGCCTTTTTCTTTTTCAGCAGCTATAACGGTGGGTGTCTTTTTCACAGTAACATTCGATGCTCGTAGAGATTGACATTGATTTTGGTTTACTTTTTCAGTTGGATCGCTTGGCGAATGTTCGCCGACTGTAAGAAGACTATCGTTTTCTTTTTTTTGCTTTTTGCCTGCAAAGCCTTTTCTTTGAAGTTGAGTACCGGAAAAGTCTTGTATCTTTGTCGCTACTTATGTTTTAGAGTTGATAGAACGTATTCTGAAAGAGTGACTGACTGTTTACTGTGAAATGATTAGTTGACTGTAGTTACTGTCAGTTTACACTAATTTATCTCCAAAAAGTGGTCGCGCGTATTTTCTTTTCTTATTCATTTTTGGTGCATTAGATGTCTTGGAGAGGGTGATGTATACATTCGATACTTATGCATATTAACTTGACGTGAATATTTTCTGCGCAAATGTTTTTTTCCTAGCAAGTATATTCTTGCATTAGAAGATTTATGTACAGATAATGTGACCATCTTCAAATGAGATTATTGTAAATTACAGATCATACAATAGTACACTCTTTTTCTATGAGCGTTTCTTGATCTGTTCTCATTTAGTATAAGGAAAAAATATAAATAGTTTATTCATCCATTATAGTATGAATGGAGGGATAGAGAATATTATAGATTAGTAAAATGATGATTATACCATGCTCATTTGAACGGTAAACTGGAAATTGGCCAAACGGAATTTGGAATTTGGCCGTAACAAGTTTTGGTCAAATTTCAACGGAAATTGGCCAAAAATCTAAATTGTACACGAATTTGGCCATTTTGCCAAAAAAACCCACATCTGTTGTGAATGATCTGACACTATAAATACGCATAACGATGCAGCTATTGCAGTATACCGAGCTGCCATACTGTCTAAGCGCGGTACACTTATTGCGTAATCAAAAGTGTATCATATCCATTACTCTAGATATTTAAAATAAGAAAACCTGCTTTTACTGCTGATTGTACTCGAATATTCAAAATCAAAAAATTTCAGAAACAAACAAGCTTCTGTCCATGGCAGTCCAAAAATATAGACAAACAAACTATGTACAATTTTTGGAGTTCAACTCTTAACATCTCCATGATCAAAAACTGTTGTACATCACCTAATCGTTTTTTTTTTTGTTTTTTTTAATGCAGCATCACCACCCACAAAATATGATAGATTAATAACATATTTTTTTAAAGTTTTGGCTAGCAGCATTGTTATCAGCATTATATTGCATACGACGAGCAGTAGATCGTGTGCGTACCATATTAACAAATTAATAATACGTTGATTATTGTTGTAAGATGATGAAATTTTAATAAATGTTGTGAATCATCAAGGAAGGCACTTTTCTTTTCATGCAAGCTCGCTGATATTTACTTCAATGTAATTGTAGCTGTAATTTAGCATTAAGATTCAAATAAAGAGTGATAAGGTTACTACAGCGTGAAAGACGTCAAGTTTTATCACCGATTTCCATTGATCTCTCACTAGAAGGGCTCATCTGATGAATTTATGAATAGATTTATCGCCCCTGAATATGGCCCGTAAAAGACATTTGTTCCGCAATTTTATTAGAAAAAACAGATAACAGCGATAATATCTCAATTCTTAAAAGTTACATTATGTGTTGTTAATTAATTTGCTCAGCTTAAATTCTTTATTACAAATCAAAGTAACTTATACATTTCTGAAAGTTTTCAAAACATATCAACGTAAACGGAGTCATTTCTAAATAGTAGCATAGACTGTCAAAAAAAAATGTCTTGATAAACCATTCGAATGGCTTCAAAATGTGTCTACAGTGCGTCTTGAGGGCACGTTAGGTGCATTTTCTCATCTTTTTACTGTTAAACGTCTTAATGTGTTAAAAAAACAGTTCTAAGTCTCTGCTTTTTTTGAAAAAAATAGCTTAGATGCGTTTGATAAATATCACTAATACATCAACAAGGCACAATGCACTAGCTACGGTCATCGCCCAAAAGCCACAGAATCATATACTCACATTCATACCACGGGAATGCATTGAGTCAAGACATATCTAGCAAGAGAAATGAAGCGATAAGTTTTTTCAGAAAAGTGTCATATCTAAATTGTTTCTTTGGCCACTATAGCGACTATCATACTCTTGAACAGACGATTTCTAATCTGTTGTTTGTTTATTTAATTATGTTAGGTTCGTTCAAATCAAATAAATGAATTACGAGATCCTGGTCAGAAATTATCAGATTTCCCTCACTCCAAAAATATTATAAAATTAAATCATCTTGTTAGTGAATACTACTTTGATGTTGCTATTTTGAAATCTTTTCCCTTCTGATGATAAAAAATATATGAAATATTCGATCTTACAGTGCTCTCATACAGACAAGGTCATAATTATGACCTTGTCTGTATGAGAGCACTGTAAGATGACTGAACAGTATTAATACTATCAATACACAATGTTTAACTGAATATATCTAAACAAGATTGGTTTTATTTAGCTATATTTAATATTTCCTAATCTCATTTCAACTCAAAAACAAGTTTTAGTGTTTATATCTTATTCATTTGAAAGATACTGGATACGATAGAAATATTCATATTTGTGTAGCCAAATCTTGTTTAGATATATCGATTTAAACATTGTGTATTGAATAGTATTATGACCTTTTCTATATGAGAGCACTGTAAGATCGAACATTTGATATATTTTTACCATCAGAAGGGAAAATATCTCAACATACGAACATCAAAGTAGTTAAAGAGTGGGTCAGAATTACTGAAACGAATTGATAAACCGCTATTTTGATTGTATAGGATGTTGTAAGTAGTTTCGTACTACTAGAGCTAGAAAGCCAAGTGAATATACGTTTTAACCCTTTAAGTACCATGGCTCTGCCGAAAAGAGAAATGTCGTTATGGCTATGTATTTAAGATAGTTATGTTAAGGTACCGCTAGTAATGGCACAGACAAGTCTAGATGTTGTCGATAGGGTTAGTTCGAGAAAGGTTGATTTATTTTCAGCGATATAGAGAATAAAATTGTACAGTCAGAAAGTTCAATGTGTTCCC